AAAAAAAAAAAAAAAAAAAAAAAAAAAAACCAGCACTGAGGGCTCAGGATGTAGCTCAGTGGCACAGCGCCTGACTGGCAAGCATGAGGCCCTGAGTTCAATTCCTGGTTCCAAAATAATGATGATAATAATAATAATAAAATAACATACAGCATTGAGAGCCAGGCATGGTGGCGCACACCTGTAATCCCACCACTTGGGAGGCTGTTGAAAGAGGATCGCCAAGAGTTTGAAGCCAGCCTGGGCTACATAGTTCAAGGCCAGCCAGCACTACAACGTGAGGCCCTGTCTAAAAAATCCGAATAAATAATAAAATAAAATACAGCACTTATTATGTCTAACCTAATTTATCAGAAATTTCATTTGATGGGCTGGGGATTTAGCTGAGCAGTTCGGTGGCCTGCCTTGCCAGCGCAAGGACCAGAGTTCAATCCCTGGTACCAAAAAAAAAAATTTTTTTTTCATTTGATAACTTTCTATTCCTTTTGTTTTGTTTTTTAGATAGCTCACTAAATTGCTAAATTCCCCAGATTAGGCTCGAACTCAAAGTCCTCCTACCTCAGCCCTCGTAGAGTGCTGGGATTATAGGCATGTGCCAACACAATTGGCTATGATCAAACTTAGTACAGATCAACTTAGTGATTGTCAAATTCACTAGTGAGTAAAACATCGATTATAATCATCATCGATATATGAACTTTTGCTAATACAGTTTTTTTCATCCTAAAGTAGAACATTACTTTTCCCGTGTCTGTTTATATATCAGAAGGAAGAAAATTATATAAATTTATATGATATATTGGTTGTAAGGATAGACCCTGGAGCAAAACCTCTGGTGTTCAAATGCCAATTCCTCTGATTACTAGCCTTGTAACCTTGGACAAATTACTAAAATGTGAAATGTTTGTAATAGTGCCTGATAAATAATGTTTTCAGTAACCATTAGCTATTACTTTGACTGTCATTCTTTAAATGCTATGGCATATACATAGAATTCTGCTTTCTCTAGTAGCATTGGAAGGATGGAACTTTGCTTTTGTTTTGCACTGTTCTTTCTTTTTTTTTTAGTACTGGGAATTGAACTCAGGATCTTGCACAGTGCCCCAGAGCTAAATCCCTGGCCCTGTACTATATTCTTGAAGGAAAGCATTCACTTTTATGTTTAATTTTTTAAAATTGTAGTTAAATATAGATAACAAAGCTTATCATTATAACCAGTTTTTAAAGTGTGCAGTTTAGTGGCATTAAGTGTATTCACAGTGTGCAACCATCATCACTACCTTCTTTCAGAACTTTTCATCATGACACACCAAAACTACATAACTATTAAGCAGTCATTCCTTCCTCTTACTCCCTGGGAACCACTGATCTGCTTTGTATTTGTATTTCACATAAATGAGTCATACGGTATTTAGACTTATATATGACTTCATTCACATAGCATATTTTTAAGGTTTATCCATTCTGTTTATGTATTCGTACTTCAGTTCCATTTTATAGCTGAATATTTCATGAATTTGCCATTTTGTTACTCATTTGGTGATAAGACATTTGAGTTATTTTCACCTTTTAACTATTATGAATAGAGATGTTATGAGTATTCATTTATGCACTTTGGTTTGACCCCTCTTCAGTTCTTTTGGCTAAAAATGTAGAATGGAATTATTGGATTATGTGGTTATTTTATGTATAATTTATTCAGGAACTGCCAAAGTTTTCCATAGTCGTTGCAGTATTTGGCATTTTCACAAGCATTATACAAGTGTTCCAATTTCTCTCCATCCTTGATAGCACTTGTTATTTTCCATTTTTTAAATCATGGCTATCTCAGTGAGTGTGAAGTTATCTCATAGCAGTTTTGATTTGGCATTCACTTTTTCCCTTATCATGCAGAGGGAATTTATTGATTGCCTTAACATTCTCATTTATGTTTTTCAGTATACGTTGCCTATCTGCCTCACTCCTACCATATTCTTGTTATCTCTTGTCTCTTACTAGACTATTAACTTTTTGAATGCAGGGAATTAGGCCCTAATACTACCTGGTATAACCAGCAAGACACATATCTATGTTTAGCAGGCCACATACATAGTTGTCCTCTCCTTTTTGTGGTCATATTTTTAACTAATTTAGCTGGACTGCCTCTCTATAGCTTCTCTTACATTATTGCCTCTGATTGGAATTGTTCCTGTTCAATTTTATTTTGTATGAATTTTGTTTATCCTTCCACTTCTTTTCCTGACACCTTTTCTGATCAGTCTGGTAAAAATACATAATTTTTCTTTTGTTTTTACTACTATTGAATTCAGCATATAGTTGGTACTAACATTTTACTTCATTAATTAAATCCTTACAGTGGCCCACAGGTTGACTTTAACTCATAAAATGTGTTCAGATTGAGGGACAGGAATTCAGCTCAGTGGCGCAGTGCATGCTTCGCAAGTGCAAAGTCCTGAGTTCAGTCCCCAGTACCGGGGAAGAAAAAAATGTGTTAAAATTGAGAAGTAATATAATTTGTCCAAGTAGTACGTACTGGTGCTGATGTTTAAACTTAATTCTCCAAAATTACTGTTTTTTCTTCCTAATACTTTCAGTTTAACTCTTGGGGCATTCTGTACTTTGTTGTAGTCATCATGGTTCATGGAGAATTTCATGAAGACCTTTGTGTCTGTTGTAGTGTCTTTATCACATTGAAAATATTTGTGGATGAATAATTATCAGCAGGTTTGGGAGAAAAAATTCTGTTAAACTGAAGAATGGACAAATTCAAACTCAGATTGGTTCCTACTACTAGTGGGTTCTTTACTCAGATTGGAAGAGTAGATGAAGTCAGTGTTCAAGCCTGCATCAACACAGTATAACTTGGTGGGTTTGAGCATTGGCTAAAGTTAGACTGCCTGGGATTTTGCCCTGCTTTGTCTTACAAGTTACCTGACATCTATTTTATCATTTATGAAATGGACATTAACACTTAGCATTTCGAATTGTCAGGATTAAGTGAGATACTGATAAGATTCAAGCCGGATATGGTGACACATGCCTGTAATTCCAGCTCTTGGGAGGGTGCTGCAGGAGGATCACCTTGAGTTTGAGGCCAGCATAGGCTACATAATGAGTTTAAAGATGGCCTGAACAATATAGCAAGATCCTATCTCAAAAAACAAATCCAAAAGATTCAACACCAGACACAGTGTTGTAAATATGTCATAGGAAATGATTATTTTAATCTTACCTGTTGTCTTTTCCCATTCTCTGTAATTTGATTATGTTAATCACCTCAAGGGAACACTTTCTACTTGTCTATCATTGAATATCCTAAACAAGAAACGGTAGTTTGTTTCCTTTTACTTATGTTTATGTTTTATATTCTTAATATATTTAATGGTACTAGTGGCTCAGGAGAAATGATCAGTGCATCTTTCATGGCAGGGAGTCGTCGGATGGTGGATGTCATGGATGTGAATACACAGAAAGGCATTGAAATGACCATGGCTCAGTGGACACGCTACTATGAGACTCCAGAGGAAGAGCGAGAAAAACTGTATAATGTCATCAGCCTAGAGTTTAGCCACACCAGGCTGGAGAACATGGTACAGAGGCCTTCAACGGTTAGTCTGATCATTTTCTCCATGTTGTTATCAGTAGGTTTTTTTTTTTTTCACTATGAGAACTTAAAACTTTTTGCATATACCAAGATCAAGCAGAATGAAAAAGACTATTTGATAGAATTAACTTTTATACTTAGATGTTTCTTCATTTTCTAAAATAACTTAATTTTATATAGGACAAGATTCTGATTTGCATTACCAATAACTTCATTTAGGAACTTTGAACTTGGTATGTGATAAAAAGGAATCTTAAAATTCACTCATAATTACTGATGCGAAGTTTACTTAAGAAATTTCTGTTCTATAGATTAACACTTAGTGGTAAGCTCAGGAAAAAAATGGTTTAGAGCCAGATGTGCATTTTAAGAGATGATTGATGTCAAGTGTGTTGACACATGCAAACAGAGAGAGAGACACACACAGAGACAGGTGACTAGATCCTACTAGTAATAATAGATTGGCAGCCTATCTTAAAAGAATAAGTTAGCTTTTGATCTTTAGCTGTCCTGAAGGCAGATTCTTATTTAACCCATCTTTTGCTTGGCTCAAAATATTTGGAATGTACTTAGTTATTTCTGGAGCTTTTCTTCTGTTTTCATTCAATTGCTGACTCAGAACTTATGTGAAGCCATGTATAGTGGCACACATTTGTAGTCTCAGCTACTCAGGAGAAAGAGGCAGGAAGATCACTTGATCCCAGGAGTTTGAGGCCAGTCTGGGGCCAGTCTGGGCTGGATAGTGAGACCCTGTCTCAAAAACTAACAAAAAAATCACTTGAGTCAGGTCTGCCGCCTAGTATATCAGATCTGGGAATGTTCTAGTCATTTTGTGAAAGTAAAAGTGTCAATGTTTTAGCCTATCTGTATTGAAATTAATTATACCCTTTGACTTTCAAAGTTGAAATGTGATAATTGCTTATGATACCTCTCTATATATGCATATGTTACTAGTAAGTTGCATTAATATTATAATTAATATGTTTTATGTGTAGACAAAAAGCAGGAAATGTTCTAAGTTCACTATTTTCTGAAAAAAGTGTAATTTGTTCTTGTTACTGAAGATGGTACAACTAAAAGCAGAATTTTTCATTAAGAGAAGCTTCTTTTCACCCCAGAATGACAAAAATCCTTTCTTTCTTTTTTTTTTTTTTTCCCCGTATCAGTGATCAAACTCAGGATCTTGCACTTATGAGGCAGATGTGGTACCACTGAGCCTGACAAGAAACCTTTCTGTGTTCATTATCATTATTTTCATCATGTGAAAATATAAGAGACGTAGTGGTTAGAATTTAACTTTTTTTTTGTCCCACTACTAGGGATCAAAGCCAGGACCTTATGCATGCTAAACAAACACTGTGCCACTGAGCTATCTGTCCCTATCTACCTAGTGCCTCCTGCCCCCATTGAATTCAGGACCTTGACTTGCAAGGCAGGAACAGCACCACTGAGCTTAATCTCTGGCTTGTTTTTGCTTTTTGAGACAGGGTCTCACTATTTAGTCCAGGCTAACCTTGAACTCATGACAGTCATCCTACCTTGGGCTCCCAAGTGATGGGATGATAGGCTTGCACCATTGTGCCTGTCTTACCATAATGTTCTTAATAGCCAACCATGGTCCACATCATAAAGATTTTTGTACGAGAGGGAATGGGAAAATTATAATAACATTGTTTATAAATGTATTTCTTTAATATTTCTAGAATTTTAACTTAAAATTATTGCAGCTATAAATATAAAACCTGACCTGGGTCATACTTTTCTGTTATTAAAATTTAGAAATATAACACTTCTTTGTAATAGTCTAAACTTGTTTATTTTGACCCTTTTGTTTCTTTTTGTTGTTGAAGTTTGGTTGGTTGGTTGGTTGGTTTTGAGACAGTATCTCATGTTTTCCAGGCTTGCCTTAAACTAACTATGCTCTGGTGGTAGCCTCCTGAGTACCTGGGTTTATATAGGCATATACCACCATATTAAAAAATGGAACATCATTTTATAAGAATTAGAAGGGTACTACACTATTAAATGAAGGACTAGAGCCTGCCTTGTAAGTACAAGGGTCCCAAGTTTGATCCCCAGTACCAAAAAAAAAAAAAAAAAGGAGTAGAACCTATGAAAAGCCTCAGAGATAGAAAATTATCTGGAGGGCAGAGGTCACAGTACACCAATATATTTCAGGGACCTAAAACATGAACAAAAAAGTTGAGTGGCCAGGGATTTAGCTCTGTGGTTTTCTGCCTGCTTCACAAGGGCAAGGTCCCAAGTTCAATCCCTGGTACAAAAACAAACAAACAAATAAAATTGAGTAACAAGCAACTTGGGACCCTGCTATGTAAAGAATAATATGTTTTTTCTATTGATAAATTTTCCTATAGTGTATCCTTTCATTTACCGTACTCTTTTCCAATAGTTCAATCCCCGGTACTGGGGATCGAATTTGGGATCTTGCGGCTTGCAAGGCAGGCGTCAGAACCACTGAGCTAAATCCCTGGCCCTCAATAATGCTCTTTTAAAAACCCATTTTATTGAAGTTAAGTTCATAAAACGTGCATCTTAAGTGTATTTTTCAGTGAGTTTTGATAAATTTATTTACTCATGGAAGTACCAGGACAATCAATATATAGAACATTTTCTATGGTATCTTCTAAACCCAGAGCTACTTTTTTTTTCCCCTGCACTGCTGGGGATCAAACCCAGGGCATTAGGAAAGAACTTGAGAGGACATGATCCTTAAGCTCTATATAAAGAAAATAATAAGGCAGAGAGAGTGAGATGAGAATTACAGGCAGAAGAAATAGCATGTAAAAGTAGCTATAGAAAGGTAAGGTAGGCAATTTAATGCCCACTGTGAGAGATAGCATAAAGTTAAGTTCTCTGGTGAGAAAAAAAAAAATAGTCATTTGCTGTTGTCATTCTAGTAGTAACTGAGGAGGTGAATTTTTTTTTTTAAATAACAAATGGACTAGGGGTATAGCTTAATGATAAGAGCCCCAGATGAAGCCCTGTCACTACCCCACCCCCTGCAACATATACAACATACAGTATGCTTATTTGGTGATGGGAAGATTAGTTCATTGAAAGCTATGAATTATTTTTGCACACCATATGAATAGATCAAGTCCTAGATATTGGACTTCTTGCCATTATGACCCTAGTTTTGGTGTAGGACAAGTTGAAACTGGTGATTATCCTTACCAGAGACTTGGTCTCTTAGGGTTTTGTTTTTGGTACCAGGGATTGAACTCGGGACCGTGTGCTTGCAAAGCAGGTGGTGGAACCACTGAGCTAAATCCCTGGCCTGCTCTCTTATGGATTCAGTTATTTAGCCAAGGAGTATTCAAAGACTAAGCATTAACCCAAAAGGAAAGTATAAACATGTTTCCATAAATTCTATCTGTAGTAAAAAATATTTAATAATATCATAGGATGTCAAAAATGACCAACTTGCTGCAGATGAGAAATTCTACTTTCTCTAAATAAACACTTGATAAAAAATAGTGAAACAACCCAACCCTTCCCCCCTCCATCTAAAAATGAGAGCTTATAGTGTACTGAACAAGTAATGACAATACAAAGATGTGGGAGATGCTGGCCACCAAGAATCAGAAGGGCCAGGGATTTAGCTCAGTGGTGCTGCGCCTGCCTTGCAAATGCAAGGTCCTGAGTTTGATCCCCAATACTGCGGGGGGGGAATCAAAGTCATTTTTTGTTGTTGTTGTTGTTGTTTGGAGAAAAAAAAAGGCATCTGTAGGTGCTAGGTTAAAGCTGCTCACTCCCTAGTAGAGTTCTTATAGGTTCCCCTCATCTTGCTTGTTTTCTTCCATGTCATTGGTGAACCTTTTTAAAGTATTCCCACCAGCAGCATCTGGGTTTTCCCAGGACATCTGCCTCCACAGTTTTTGTCAAGACGTATACTATCAGGAAAATGATGATCAAATGTATAATTGTTATAAGGCTTACCAAGTTAAATATTTTTTTACAGCCATAAGTGAAATACTTGCGCTTTCAGCACTACATTGAATTCATGGTGGCTTGACTCTCATGCTTTTGCTGTTTAGGGCAGTTTCTTGGGGTTGGGTGCTTGAGTGCAGGCATTTGAAGGTACAGGTCATGTCACATTTCTCCAAAGTGTTAAAATAGGTTCCTATTGCTTTCATACCTCATTTCTTTAAGTAAGTATTATTTAAAACGGGTACCTAAATTCTGATAACATTATTTCAAGTATTTTAACATAATTTAATCCTAAGCATATCCCTTTGAGGTAATTTTCTTAGCTTTCTGTAGGTGAGTTCTACAGCCTCACATCCTGGAGCTTTTGATTTCTAACATACTGATGTCTGGCATATTCCTCATACAAGGCTGCCAATCCATATTGGATTTCTTTTCTTTCTTCTTCCTCCTTCCCTTCCTCCCTCCCTCCATTCTTTCTTCCTTCCTTTCCTTCCTCCCCTTTCCTCTCCTTTCTCTCTTAACTTGTGTTATTTTGGCTCTTCCAACAATAATGTATCTTTCAGTGAGTTTACAGGTACCTTCCAGACAGCATGTTTTATGGGTCAAAAACGCAAAGCAAATTAGATCAGTATTGACATAGAAGAGAATTCTTGGTTGGACGCTGCTGTGTGTCATTTAATGACTCCATTTTGATGAGTGCTGTCTTTATAGTCAGGTTGATGGAACTATTAGTCTTTATTCTCATCTAATAATTATGTCTAGAGGGCTGGGGATGTAGCTCAGTGGAACCGTGCTTGCCTGGCAAGTGCAAGGTCTTGAGTTTAATCACTGGTATTGGGGGAAAAAATATTATATCTGGAATGTTTACCTCTGACTCTAAGATTCACCAACACATATTTTTAATTTACATAAATGACATTGTCTTTTGGTATGTATTTAAAGGAATTCTATTTTTCTTGACTTTAAAATTCTCTTTAACCCTAATCCTTCCCTTAGAATTTAAATATATCTTCCTTTTTAAAGGTGGATTTCATTGACTGGGTAGACAACATGTGGCCCAGGCATTTGAAGGAAAGTCAAACAGAATCAACAAATGCCATCTTGGAAATGCAGTACCCTAAAGTGCAGAAGTAAGTGATTTACTTTGTGGTTTTGTTTTTTTGTTTTTTGGTGTGCTATGAAGTACTAAAGTGACAACAAGGAGTAGTTCCTCCATTTGGGGATTTGCTGTGTACTAAGTTGTCAAAAAAAGAAGGGAAGGAAGGAAGGAGCGAGGGAGAGAAATTTAAATAGTAGATTTTACAGGTCCAAAAGGATGAGGGTGTGTATCAGAGTACTGTAGCACATGATCCCATGGTTAAAGAAAAAACTATATCCTCTGGCAATGTGATAATTTGAAATTACACCCCTTCCACCTTCTAGAAATGATTAGATGGAAGGAAGGTAGAAGGAGTACATAAGGAAGAATGTGGCATTTTTGAAAGTAGGTCCTCTTTTTCCATCAGTACACTAATGCTGTGCTTTTTTTTTGGTGGGGGGGCCAGGTACTGTTTAATGAGTGTTCGAGGCTGCTATACTGACTTTCATGTGGACTTTGGTGGTACCTCTGTATGGTATCACATCCACCAAGGGGGAAAGGTATGGTCATGGTTGTGGTGAGGGTTGGAATATGGAGTTACTTAATATGCCCTGAAAATGAATCTGTTAGGAAATTGTACCCATTTGTATCTGGAGAGAATTACAGTTTTGAGTTGACTTACATGTCTAGTGTTCACTAGGAATTTTAGTATTTATCTAATCCATTATCATGATAGCAAAATTGATACCGTAATAGGCAATCTCAGTAGTCTTGTTTCTAGATCCCCCAAGTGACACTAAGGTGACTTTAGGAGAACATAATTTCTGTACTTGGTAGTATAATAATGTAATGGAAGAGAACACACATTTTAGATAGCTGCACAATGAAATCAGCAGATTAAGATCCAAATCAGTTTTCCTCATTTGGAGGCATTGGTTAGAAATGTGACCAAAGGAAATCTTTAGGTCTTTTCTGAGAATGTAAATAGATTTTGGAAGACTATCTTCATTCATAAAGAATTCCATTTCAGCTTGTCAAAGTGTTTCTGAATGCTATATGAGAATGGAGATCTAGAATTAATATGAGAAGTTTATAGTCAATCCTCCCCCTACTACAGATAAATGCATTTATGAACAAAAGTAGAATTAGAATGAAAACATACTGCTTTAAGTGGTACTTTAAGTTTTATCCTCTTGGTCTTGGAACAAAGCAGCTCCAAACCAGTCTCTTGAAGATACTATACTTAAATAGCTTTTACTTAGGTCTCTGAGGTCAGATAGCCACATGTTTATAAGGAACTGCTTAGTTAGTAAGCCAAATGCCCTTTTTTCTCAGAGTCCTGGTTGGGTTCTTGGTTCTGTAGTCATATTCCAGCGAAATCCTGATGCTATTTGGTTTGATAAAGTGAATGACAAGAAAGATCTACTTCTTTGGGTCCTCAGAGTTTCCCAAATAGTCAAGTTGTGTAGGCTGGTGGAATTGACTGCCTGTCTTCTACTTGATAGTCTTTATACCTGTTTTAGTTGAGGGAAACGACTGGGTCATGTCAATGGCTGTTAACAGACTGAAGTTTTTTAACTCACAGGTCTTCTGGCTCATCCCCCCTACAGCCCACAACCTGGAGCTGTACGAGAATTGGCTGCTGTCAGGGAAACAGGGAGACATCTTTCTGGGTGACCGGGTGTCAGATTGCCAACGCATTGAGCTAAAGCAGGGCTATACCTTCGTCATTCCCTCAGGTAAGCAAGGTGGAGAAAAGTAGGTTGTTTACCTTAGCCACTTTATTTTTACAGAAAAGGAAACAGAGGGCTGGGGATTTAGCTCAGCAGTTTGGTGGCCTACCTTGCAAGCACAAGGACCCTAGTTCAATCCCCAGTACCAAAAAAAAAAAAAAAGAAAGAAGAAAAGGAAACAGATGGATTACCACCAAGAATGATTATGCTAATAAAAGTGCACAGCAAATAATTGTGTCCTTTCCTATCATTATGGAGTAGATGCTAAGAATGTATATTAAGAAAAAAATTTTTAAAGACAGTGATTTGACACTAAAGATAGGTCAGAATTGCTACTGGAGGCTTTTCAGAAGGCCTGCAGGTTTGAGCCCCATGTTATCCTCAGTAATTGAGACTCTCTTCAGAAATGAGCTGATCTGCAGGTTATGTGCCACCTCTGGTGAAGAACGACCTAGTCTTCTAGGAATGGCTGTCAAGGCTGAATGCCACTAAATCGGAATATTCTTGATCAAATCATTATTTCTAAAATAAATGCTTGTAAGGGTCAGGGATTTAGCTCAGCGTTGTCACCGCCTGACTCACAAGCACAAGGTCCCAAGTTCAATCCCTGGTACCAAAAAAATAAAATAAAAGATTTAAAAACTAAAATAAGTGCTTATTAAAGAGGACAGATTTTGAAGTCATAGTCCTGTTTGAGAATTCTAAACATTTACCTGCTAGATACCTCTTTGGTCAAATATTTATTTTTCTTTTTTGAGATATTGGAGATTGGACCCAGGGCCTTCACGCTGAGCTACACACTCAGTACTTTTTAAACATTTTATTTCAAGACAGAGTCTCACTAAGTAGGTAAGTTGTTGCCCAGGCTGTGCTTGAACTTGCAGTCTTGCCTCAGCTTCCCAGAATGCTGGGATTGTAGGAGTGAGGTACCACCTTATTTATTACTACCTTATTTATTAAAAATTTCTTGGGCTGGGAATGTAGCTCAGTGGTAGAGAATTTGCCTAGCATGTGCAAGGCCCTGGGTTTGATCCCCAGCATATCTCCCCCCATCCCCCTGCCTTGATGGATATGATGGCCCATACCTACAGTCCCAGCTATTTAGGAGGCTGAGGTGGGAGAATGGATTAAGCACACGAGTTATAGGCTAGCCTGGGCAACAGAGACCTTGTCTCAAAAAAAACCAAAAAACTTTATTTACAAGCATTTTTCTTATTTAATGCTCATCGTCAACCAGGTGAAGTATAGTTTATCCTAGTTTTTAGAGGAAATTGAAACTGTGGGAGATTAAGTAATTTGACCAACCACTAAGAAACAGAATCAGACAAAAAATATGATCTTGGAGCTTTGTGCTGTTACTCTGAGAAAGCTGTACTACAATGTGTGTTTTCAGCTTCTACATCCATTCCCTTTTCTTCAGGCTGGATTCATGCTGTATATACTCCTACAGACACATTAGTCTTTGGAGGAAATTTTTTGCATAGCTTCAACATCCCCATGCAATTAAAGATATACAACATTGAAGATCGGACACGGGTAAGTAATTTTATGTAATAGTTATATGTGTAGAGGTTTATCCCATTTAGGAGAGAGAAGAGATTCATGAATAGTTTATCAAAACTTTAATTTTTCTTTGGCTTAAAATGTAATGTTCGCATACTGGGAATATGAAGAAAAATAAAAATTTTAGGAAGGTGAACTTACTTAGTTTTGGAGACATCAATTATTTGAAGTTCTTAATACCTTGGATTTTGATAGGAACACAAATGGCTCTCTGATAATCTCTTGAGCTATGGTTTTCATTTTTATTCTCCTGGGATACTAACACCTGAACCATTTTACTTTGTTGTTGTTGTTACTCAGGACCTTGCACTTGTGAGGCAGACACAATGCAACTGAGCTAAATCTCGGGCCCTCAAACCATTTTACTTCAATACATAGGAGTGTATCCTGTTGCAGCCGGATGTGGTGCATGTCTATAATCCCAGCACTCAGGAAGCGGGATTCCAGTGTGAACTACTTAGCAAGACCCTGGCTCAAAAAACCCAAGAAAACAAACAAAACAATACATATATTGTCTTTATTAACTGGGGTTCCATGAGAGATGAGCACTGTAGCCCCTATGTGTCTCATTTTTCTAGTTTTCCTAGATGGTGCACAGTTGACTGGTACTATTACAGATTCATAGGAAATGACTTAATCATTACACCCCATAGATACCAGACAAAAGACCTGGAAGGCTTTCTGTAAAGATCTAGATAGTAAATATTCTCAGCTTTACGGGCCATAAAATATCTGTTGCAGCTATTTAACCCTACCTCATAGTATATGGGGTAGCCATATTTTAAAATAAATTTTATAAATGTGAATTTGTGCTTATTTATTAAAAGTGATGAAGGGGCCAGATATTTAGCTCAGTGGTTCTGGCGCCAGCCTCGAAAGTTGAAGGAACTGTTTTCAGCTTCTACATCCATTCCCTTTTCTTCAGGCTGGATTCATGCTGTATATACTCCTACAGACACATTAGTCTTTGGAGGAAATTTTTTGCATAGCTTCAACATCCCCATGCAATTAAAGATATACAACATTGAAGATCGGACACGGGTAAGTAATTTTATGTAATAGTTATATGTGTAGAGGTTTATCCCATTTAGGAGAGAGAAGAGATTCATGAATAGTTTATCAAAACTTTAATTTTTCTTTGGCTTAAAATGTAATGTTCGCATACTGGGAATATGAAGAAAAATAAAAATTTTAGGAAGGTGAACTTACTTAGTTTTGGAGACATCAATTATTTGAAGTTCTTAATACCTTGGATTTTGATAGGAACACAAATGGCTCTCTGATAATCTCTTGAGCTATGGTTTTCATTTTTATTCTCCTGGGATACTAACACCTGAACCATTTTACTTTGTTGTTGTTGTTACTCAGGACCTTGCACTTGTGAGGCAGACACAATGCAACTGAGCTAAATCTCGGGCCCTCAAACCATTTTACTTCAATACATAGGAGTGTATCCTGTTGCAGCCGGATGTGGTGCATGTCTATAATCCCAGCACTCAGGAAGCGGGATTCCAGTGTGAACTACTTAGCAAGACCCTGGCTCAAAAAACCCAAGAAAACAAACAAAACAATACATATATTGTCTTTATTAACTGGGGTTCCATGAGAGATGAGCACTGTAGCCCCTATGTGTCTCATTTTTCTAGTTTTCCTAGATGGTGCACAGTTGACTGGTACTATTACAGATTCATAGGAAATGACTTAATCATTACACCCCATAGATACCAGACAAAAGACCTGGAAGGCTTTCTGTAAAGATCTAGATAGTAAATATTCTCAGCTTTACGGGCCATAAAATATCTGTTGCAGCTATTTAACCCTACCTCATAGTATATGGGGTAGCCATATTTTAAAATAAATTTTATAAATGTGAATTTGTGCTTATTTATTAAAAGTGATGAAGGGGCCAGATATTTAGCTCAGTGGTTCTGGCGCCAGCCTCGAAAGTTGAAGGAACCAAGTTCGATCGCTGGTACCAAAAAAAAAAAAAAAAATTTAAAAAGTGATGAAACTACAAAAGATAGTAAATGGTTTAATAAGACTGAGGAAACACTACCAACCCACTTGTTGTGAGAGTCACTCTGAAGATTATTTTTAGAACATAGCCCTTTTTACAGCTCAATGTGACTGCTATCCCCTGGACTTAGTTGTTTTAGTTTCAGGGAAGAAAAGGAAGATACATACTCAGTAACATAAGTAAAATGAGCACCTTTCTCTTGGTGAAAAGTTCCCTGTAAATTGTTAAACTGGTAGAAACTAATCTTGATATAATTCCTAGACTTTATTACAAAAATGTCAATTTTCAATATGTAACCATATTTTTTAAAAGTATGGCTTAATTCTTTTATTTCAAATAAGGAGTCCCGTGTTTCTATAAAATTTCATTGGATCCTCTGAACTGGATACAATTAAAATATGCAGTGATTAAGAATTATATTAAAAGACACATTGCTGTTAATCCCCTCCCAAAAAATACTTCCCCTTAGTTCAGACACATTTATTCTAACATTCTTGCTATTTTCTGAAGCAGTTCTGAAAGTCCTCTTTTGCGAATGTCTTTACGAGGTATGATTTTTTAAAAAAATACAGTGAGTGCTGTTGCTGAGTGCCATCCACCAGAAAGGCAGGCTTGTAAAACTACTAGGCTGTGTCCTCCTCTACTTTATTCACAGAATGTGGCACCGAGCAGCTTCTGGCTCTTCCCTCAAAATCAAAATGACTGTGGCTGGGCGTGGTGGCGCAAGCCTGTAATCCCAGCACTCAGGAGGCTGAGGCAGGAGGATCGCTGTGAGTTCGAGACCAACCTGGGCTACATAGTGAGTTCCAGGTCAGTCTCAGCTACATAGTGAGACCCTGTCTCCAAAAAAAAATTTTTTTTTTTTAAATTGATTCAGGACATTGAGGCAGCCATAAGAGTGAAACCAAAGCCCATCACAAAAAGAGGACTTCCAAAACTGCTTTAGAAAGTGTCAAGAATGATGGGATAAATGCATTGAAGATAAGTGAGGAGTATTTTGAGGAATAAAATTTTAATTTGAACATCAGTATTTTCAGTCCCACTTTGTATATACACCACAGAGCAACTTTTTTGTTTTTCATATTAACTTACAATGCTTTATGAAAGAAATGTAAAACATTATAAATAAGTCAGTGTTTTGATTACTTTTTTTTTTAATGAGGTAGGCACAGTGCCACTGAGCTAAATCTCTGGCCCATGGTTTTTTTTTTTTTTTTTTTTTGAGACAGGGTCTCACTAGGTAGTTGAGACTGACCTGGAACTCACTATGTAGCCCAGGATGGTCTTGAACTCACAGCGATCCTCCTGCCTCAGCCTCCCGAGTGCTGAGATTACAGGCGTGTGCCACCACGCCCGGCTTCTGGCCCATGTTTTGATCACTTTTATCTACCAATGTATAAACTTACTGTTTAAATTGAGTGTTGGTAATTGTCTTAAAGCCTCAGAAGTTTTGTATAATGAGGATTTTTTTTTTCTTGTTTTGAGATAGGTTTTTCCTATGTATGGTTCCCAAGCTGACCTTAAATTCTTGGAGATGGCCAGGATTGAGCACCTGTATTCCTAGCACACTGGAAGGCCAAAGCAGGAGAATTGCAAGTTCAAGTCCAGCCTGGGCAATTTAGCAAAATGGAGTTGGAGATGGGGTATACCTCAGAGTGAAGGCTTTAGGCTCAGTTTCCAAAACCAAAAAATACAAAACAAAATAAATTTGGGCTCAAGTGATCATCCTCCCTCTTCCCTCAGCCACCTGAGTAGCCGGGACTAGGGTTGCATGCTGCCATGCCTGGTTTGTAACAAGGATTTTACAAAGTCTTCCCAAAAAATTCCATCTCATTGTTAGAAATTAGATATGTTTCGTGGTATTTGGCAGCATATATAAAATATATTATGAGGGCCAGGGATTTGGCTCATTGGTTCTGCTGCTGCCTGCCTGTTGAGCACAAGGGCCCAAGTTCAATCCCAGTACCCAAATTAATTAATTAAAATAAAATATAAGTGAGTTGGTTATATAGTATTATGGTTTACCCTTTCCCCCCGTACCAGGTATCAAACTCGGGGCCCTGTGCTTGCCAAGTAGACAGAGTGCTGCTGAGCATACATCCCTGGCCCTATGGCTATTTTTGATACAGTATGATGAGTTTCAAGTTAATGAAAAAATGTTTTGAGACCAGGTTGCCCAATCAGGCCCTTAACTCCTGGGATTATATGATCCTTCTGTCTCAGCCTCCCAAGACTACAAAGTGAGACTCTGGCTCTAAATTAAAAAAAAAAAAAAAAAAAAAAAAGTATATTGTGTCTAACTCTAAAATATACCCTCTATCTCAAAACCCAACATTTCTTTTTAATACTTGTCCACTGAAACAGGACAGTTCCTTGGTGGTTCTGTTAGGTCACCCAAAATACCTTTTGCCTATAGTGGTTGTTTTCACAGGCCAGTATTTTCCAAGGTGGTGGATTGAGTCAAGTTCATGCTTTTGTTTTTGTTTTTGTTGTTATCAAACTCAGGACCTTTCTCACTTGCAAGGCAGGCTGGTGCTGCGGAACTAAATCCCCAGCTCTCAAATTCATGCTTTAATTGCTAACTTGAATTTGCAGGTTGACTGGCATGACTTTTCCTGGGTTAATTATTGCAGTGATTCAGTTTGTCTGTCTTTCCTTGAGAAGTATCATCACCTTATTATTCTGTCTCTGTGTAGGTTCCAAATAAGTTTCGCTATCCATTTTACTATGAGATGTGTTGGTATGTGTTGGAACGCTATGTGTACTGTATAACCAACCGTTCCCACCTAACTAAGGAATTTCAGAAAGAATCTCTCAGCATGGGTAAGTGTTCTGTCTACATAAATTGCCTGGTGTTTTAAAAAATGTTTTTTGTGGTACTGGGGATTAAACCCAGGGCCTTCACTCTGAGCTATATCCCCAGCCCTTTTTTCATTATTTATTTTGAGATAGGATCTTGTTAAGTCAGTAAGGTGCCCAGCCTGGGCTAGAATTTGTGATTGTCCAGCCTCAGCCTCCCAAAGTGCTGGAATTACAGATGTGTTGGAGTCCCACCTGGGATATGTAGTGAGTTCAAGGCCAGCCTAACATAGTAAGACCCTACTTCAAAAAAATCAAAACAAACTTGTCCAGACATTTTAATAAGTAGTTTACATATGTTAAGTTTTTATTACTACCTGTGATGTAGGTGTAATTATCTCCATTTTACAAATGGGAACAATAAGATTGAAAAAGAAAGCTGATTGAAAAAGAAAGCTGGGCGTGGTGGCGCATGCCTGTAATCCCAGCATTTGGGAGGTTTAGGCAGGAGGAACGCTGTGAGTTCAGAGACCAGCTTGGGCTATATAGTGAGTTCCAGGTCAGTCTCAACTACATAGTGAGACCCTGTTTGAAAAAAACAAAGCAAAAAAGATTGAAAAAGATTTTAAAACTTACCCCAAAATTTAAAGTTAATAAGCAGTTAAGCCACAGCTTGAATCAAACTGGTCAGACTCTAAAATCTGTGCTCTTAACTTTTGTACTCTAACATTTCCCCAACATCTATGAAGAGAAATTTTTTATTTGATGATAAGGTAGTTTCAGTACACTTTTTTAGTCTTTCCCATGTCTTGAATTGGAGAGGGGTCAATATTGTAATATGCTATAATTGAAGGTTTTTCTGGGATCTTCAATCCAAGGAAGATACCTTTTGCTTTAGCATTTTCTTCTTACTATATAACTTTGCTCATAGTTTATACTCTCATTTGAAATTTTGAAAAGCTCACTCAACATAAGAAAGTAAGATAAAGAACAATATATACAGTATGATCCAATCTTGTTTTAAAGTATATCTAATCAAGTCGAGCATGGTGGTACATGCCTGTAATCCCAGCACATGAGAAGTTAAGGTAGGAGGATCACTGAGTTTGAGACCAGCCTGGACAACATAATGAGTTCAAGGCCAGCCTGACTTACATAGTTAGACCCTGTCTCAAAAAAAAAGAGGATTATGAGTTAAACTCAGCCTGGGCCAACAAATTAGTGACTTCAAGAGACCTTGTCTCAAAACAAAAAACAAGAAAGGACTGGGGATGTAGCTCAGTGTGAAAGAGACCTTCAGGTCAATCCCCAGTACCACTCCCAAATCATACATGTATATACATAGGAAAACATGGAAAGAGAAAACATTACATTGTTGAGTTATTTTTCCAGAGTAGAGGGATAAGGAATGATTTACTTCCTTGTAACGTCATGCATTTTCTAAATTATTAGTAGTAAAATGTGTTAAAGGACTAGCACAGTGGGGCCAGGATTTGGTAGCTGGTGCTGAGAGAAAGCCTTGATAGCATACTTGCCCTGGTATGACACCAGTGGCAGCTGTCACTCAGTGGGACAGGCACCATTTTCTGATTCTTAGTCAACATTATGCCTTCCTACTTCTCTAACGTTAGGTGCTGCCAGGCATGGTGACGAATGCCTGTAATCCCAGCACTCGGGAGGCTGAAGCAGGAGGATTGCTGCAAGTTTGAGGCCAGCCTAGGCTACATAGTGAGTTTAAGGCCAGGCTGAACTACATGGTGAGACCCTGTATCAAAAAAAAATAAAAGAAAAAGACTAGTGAACATCACTACTGTTACCAAATGTTTCCTTTTCAAAAAATATTCACTTTGTTCTGCTGTCCGTGTTGGTAGGATTTGAACTGCCCAAAACTTAATTTTTGGGGGAGGGGTTGTTTTTGGCTTTTTGAGACAGGGTCTCACTATGTTTTGTTTTGGTTTGGTTTTTTTGGTACCAGGGATTGAACTCGGGTCCTTGCGCTTGCAAGGCAGGCCACCGAACCGCTGAGCTACATCGCCAGCCCCAAGGATCTCACTATGTAGTTGAGACTGATCTGGAACTCACTGTGTAGCCCAGGCTGGTCTCAAACTCACAGCAATCCTCCTGCCTCAGCCTCCCAAGTGCTGGGATTACTGGTGTGCACCACCATGCCCGGCTCCAAAACTTAATTTTATGTACTTCATATTGTCTGTTCTTTTAGAAGATGATGAAAATATAATTCCAAATTTAAGCTTAAATTTGAAAGTAATTTATAGCTTCTTTCATGGGTAACTTATTTCTAATACACAAATATAAGGTTCTTCCCAGCCTTTTAAAAATGCGGTTGGTCAACAGTGGACAAATAGATTGGAATAAGGAGACACTGTTCTTAAATATGAGTGCTTTGTCACTTATAACCTCAAGCCCTGGGCTAGGGATGCTCAGTGGCACCAGGGCCTGCCTGGCAAGTGCATGGTCCTGAGTTCGATCCCTGGTACGGGGTTGGGGGAGGGCTCAAGCTCCTTCCCATGACACCTGTATCTCTTGATGATTGCATTGTCTTTTTTCATTTTTTCTTTGTGTTGGTAGATTTGGAGTTAAATGGATTGGAATCTGGAAATGGGGATGAGGAAGGAGTAGACCGAGAAACCCGACGCTTGAGTAGTAGGCGTTCTGTCCTTACTAGCCCTGTAGCCAATGGGGTCAACCTGGATTATGACTGCCTGGGCAAAACCTGCCGTAGTCTTCCGAGTCTGAAGAAAACTTTGTCTGGGGACTCATCCTCTGACTGTAGCCGGGGCTCCCATAATGGCCAAGTGTGGGATCCCCAGTGTAGCCCCCGAAAGGACAGGCAAGTGCATCTGACCCATTTTGAGCTTGAAGGCCTCCGCTGCCTTGTAGATAAGTTGGAATCTCTGCCAGTGCACAAGAAATGTGTCCCCACAGGGATAGAAGACGAAGATGCTCTTATTGCCGATGTAAAGGTAAGCAGCTGTTAACCTGGTTACAGCAATCAATTTCTAGTTTTGGAGGAAGAAAGTACAAGAATTTCGTATAATCTCTGGTTCAGCTACAGAGAGCGTAATAAGTGTGTGTGTTTGTTAGTGCTGCTCAATGTTTCAAATCCTACAGTGAGGTTAGGTTCCTATTAAAGTGTAATTACAACTTGTGTGGTCAGTGAGGATTTAAATTCAGCCCTTAAAACAAAATTAAAGCTGATCCCTAAAATAAAAATGAGCCTGAGAAGTGTATACATTAAGAAATAATACTTCTAGCTTTTCTTGTGCTCCAATAAAGAGACCTGTTGGAGAACAAAAGAGAAGCTAATAGCAATCTCATCCTAAGTAGATTAAGAGAAAAGAAAATTGTTCTGTGCTATGTTATATTGAGTAGGTTTAAAATCTTTAATTTCAATAATATTAAGACAGATATATCAAGACAACTTCCAATAAAAATGACATTTTAAGCATAATCTATCCTGTTGCTTTATCAAGTTTCTTCATATTGTATATTTTTCTTGTTTTTTAAGGGGTCCTCCAACATAAATTTTAAAAGTCTTTACCTACCTCTCATATATTAGTTAGTCTTAAGGAAATGAACTTATTTTGTGAAATCTTTGAGTTCTCTAAACTAGAGAGATCTTCCTTTCTCTGTCTCCCGCCTCATCTCTCTCCCTAACCCTCCCCCTTCCCTTCTCCCATCTCCGTCTCTTTCTTTCTGGGATGTTGCTATATCACTGTTTTTCTATATCTCTGTTATCTCTGTCTCTGTCCCATCCCATCCATCCCAACCTCCACCCTGCCCCTCAAGGATCTTGCTGTGTTGCTCAGGCTGACCTCAAACTCCTGGGCTTAGGCTGTCCTGCTGCCTGACTGCCTCACTCATCTATGTAGCTTGGACTATAGATAATATGTCACTACTCTCTTCTTCACACCCTTCAATCTTTAAGTAACCTATGAAGAAAGCTTTCTAAGATTATGTCTTATAAATTTATTTGATCTGGGTATCTATTTCTCTCTCCTCCCCTTTCTGTCTCTTTTCCTTCCCTCTCTCCTTCCTACCTTCCCTCCGTCCCTCCTTCCTTCCCCTTTTTTCTTCCTCCTTCATCATCATCCTCCTTCTTCCTCCCCTTTTCTTTTTTTCCCTTCCCCTTTCTTCCTTGTCTCAGTCTTCTCCCCTCCCCATTGTGGCCATCAAATCCAGGGCCTTGTGCATGCTAGGCAGACTGCCTACCAATGAACTACACCCCCAGCCCACAATTTTATTTGTTAATCAGTGTCTGGAAATATATCTTGGGTGTGTGTATTAGCAAGACCAGAGTTCATAGTAAGTGTTATTTTTTTTAAACTGCCACATAGATTACTACAAGTCATTTTAAGAGCTTACAGAGAATAATTCTGTGACACCATCCCCCCCAATAAAAGTGGACTAAATGTCTTACAGTATGTCTTTCCCATCTCTGATTCTTGATTCAGGTTTTTTTGTTATTGTTGTTTGTTTTTTTTTTGAGACAGGGTCTTGCTCTTTAGTTCAGGCTGATCTTGAATGGACTATATAACCCAGGCTGGCCTTAAACTTTGGGCAGTCCTCCTGCCTCAGCCCCACAAGTTCTGGAATTACAGGTGTGCGCCACCACTACTGGCTGATGGTGTTTCTAGCCACCATATAACCAGCTGTGAAGTTCCCCAACTTTTTGCACCTAAGGAAAGAATTCTGAGACTGAGATGGGATTTCATCTTTTTTTTTTCTTTTTAAAATTAACATTTAAAAAATGTATTACATGTTCATTCATCAGTAAAAAGGTAAACAATTATAGAAACTAAAAAAAGGGTGATAACTCAGTGAGGTTGTTCCTCTTTGGTAGCAGTAGAAGCTAAGCAGTTGGTGGTAAAGTTTAGTTTTATAAGGTTTGCTTTAGAAGAGGCTGGTGGTATCGTGGCTTTTAAAAGAGGAAATAACATGCTTCCAGGTTAATGTGGTCCTACTTCCATAATGATTAGTGTGTAACAAGAAATTCAGCCATGCTTTTCCATATTCGAGTTAGTTACCAAACTCACTTTATTGAATGAACAAAGGGCGTTTGAGTTTTTTCTTTTCTATTGTGATAGGACTTTTATATAATCTTGAGTGCTTAATTGACTGTAACCTTTTCTTGGTCACTTTCTCATTGCTATGACACAATACCTAATACCCGCAGATTAAAAGAAGAAAGGTTTATTTTGGCCCAGAGTTTGTATAAGTTCTAATTCATAGCCAGCCTCATTGCAGAGGGGCATAGCAGTGAGGAGCAAATGACATGGCAGACAGGAAGCAAGAGCCAGCTGAGAAGGGAGATAAACCTTTCCAGACCATGCACCCAGTGACCTCCCTCTTCTGACCAGACCCCACCTCCTAATAGCAAGTCAGCTATAGACCTCCATAATCCAGTCAGCTTCCAAAGGTCCCACCTATGATTCCATGAGGCTTGAAGGGATATCTGGATACTACTTTTCTATATAAATCTCTCTGTGTGGCTATTCCATCATGAATGTATATGGGAAACAAATTGTGACTTTGAAACTTGTCAACTTCTATAATTGTCTTAACCCTATGAAGAAAGATTTCTAACATTATATCATCAATTTTTTAAATCTGGGTGTCTGTTTTTTTTGTTTTGTACCAGGGATTGAACTCAGGACCTTGTGCTTAAGATACAGGTGGTGGCACCACTGAGCTAAATCCCCAGCCCTGTCTATATTTTTAATTCATGAAAAAGAATGTCTTTTGAGTTCTAAGGGAGATGTCTATAGATTGATTTGATGCCATTGAATCCAGTAATAGAAAGTCATATATACTTCACTAATCCATTGTACAAGGTCAACAGTCCTAATTAAAATACATAGATTCCCTTAAATAAAGTCATTGGAATAGCTTAATAAAATTTGAAACTGGATGTGGTGGCACACTGTAATCCTGGCACTCTGGGAGGCTGAGGCAGGAAGATCACAAATTTGAGCCTATTCTGGGCTTAGTTTAGAGACCCTGTCTCAAAAAAAAAAAGGTTTGAGGGGCTGGCTATAGTTGGGGGCAAAGGTCCTGGGTTCAGTCCCCAGTACCACCAAAACCAAAACAAAACAGCCAGTTTCAGAAGTTATCAGATTTAGATCTCAGATCTATCAGTAGTTGTCATTTATAATCAAATGGATTAATTATTCCTATACTTAGTGAGAGATTAGGATATAGTATATTTAAGAGCTTGAATACTTTAAGAATCTGAGCATCATTTAAAAGAAAAAGCAGTAAGAGGGGTAGATGCCCAACACTACACAGCTAATAGTAGTTCTACAGTACAATAGAGTTTAGCACTGATGACTTCACTGTAATGGGAGACAAATGGAAACAAAGTTTATGCTTCCTGCAGAGAGAGGGATTGTTTCCTTTTAAAATTTCTTGTGGGCCAGGAGCAGTGATATAGGCCTGGAATCCTAGCACTTTGGAGGCTGACAGGAAGATTGCCATAAATTTGAGGCCAGCCTGGACTACAGAGTGAGACCCTATATCCAAAAAAACACCAACTCAATCAATCAATCAATCTCTCTGGCTGGGGCTTGACTGAACAGGAGTTGCCGTCATAGGAGTTTACATCAGCCACAACAAGGACCAAAAGGCCCAGCACAAGTCCAGGAGCCAGGACATCTACCTGAGACTATTGGTTAAGCTATTTAGGTTTGTGGCCAGACAAACCAACTTTACCTTCAACTAGGTTGTGCTGAAGAAGCTGTTTATAAGTTGCACCAACCTGCCACCTAGGTCCCTTTCCTGGATAATCCACAAGAGGAGGTTTTCTGGCTGGAAAAATAAAACTTTTTTGGTTGTGGGGATAACAACAGATAATGTATGGGTTCAGAAAGTGCCCACACTGAAAGTTTGTGCCCTGTGTGTGAGCAGCCACGCCAGCAGCCACATTCTTAAGGCTGGGGGTAAGATCCTTGCCTTTGACCAGGTAACCCTAGATTCCCTGAAGAGCTGTGGCACCGTCTTGCTCTCTGGTCCACGCGAGGGACAAGACGTGTACTGACATTTCCACAAGGCCCTGGGACCCTGCACAGCCACACTAAACCCTACGTCTGCTCCAAGGGCTGAAAGTTCAAGAGCACCAGAGGCAGACAGGCCAGCTAAGGCTACAGGAACTAACCCAGGATCTTACTCTGTTATTAAAAGGAGTTTAGAGCCAGGTGTGTTAGTGCATGCCTGTAATCCCAGTGTTTGAGAGGCTAAGGCAGAAGAGTCACTGTGAGTTCAAGGCCAGCGTGGACTACATGATGAGACTCTGTCTCAAAAGCAAACTAGTTTGGATCAAAAAATAAATTAAATAAAACAAACAAAAAACAGCTCTTCTCAGAAATAACTAGTAGAAGATATGGGAAGAAAAGTAGTGGTATGAGATCTCCGTAATTTTGTGTTCTCTGGAAGAAAAGTCCAGTTTAGTGTTGTAATAAAAGGGCTTTGAGATTTTAAAATGTTAAGTTCTACAGTGTTGGAAAAAAGTTGTAGAATTGAAGGAGAGTAAATTAAAAATAGAGCAATAAAACATGCTGACTTACTGGTAATGATAAAGTGAATCCACCTGGGTTCTGTTTGGGAAGGTTATGGATAATCTTAACTTTTGAGAAAGTATGCTAAAAGCAGAAGAGTTGACTTAACGTTGCAGCCTTAACATGGGGCTGGCCTCAATCTTGGAATCCTCCTGCCTTAGCCTCCCAGAGTACTGGGATTATAAGAGTGCACTACTATACCTATCCCATTAAGGCAGTTTTGGTTTTTTTGTTTTTGTTTTTGTTTTTGTTTTTTGTTTTTAAGCTAGTCTGTACAATGAAAAGCTTCACTTCTTGATTTAATTAACTTTTTTTTTTTTTTTTTTTGGGGGGGGTACCAGGGCTCGAACTTGAGTCCTTGTGCTTGTGAAGCACGCACCGGAACCACTGAGCTTAAATCCCTGACCCTA